TCGCCTGCTGATCTCCAATCATTTGACTGCCACTATGCTTTCTGGACAGCCTATTCTCAGAGACTGCACTTGCTGTCGTATTGCTGAGGTACGACGGGCTGCCTGTTTAAAAAAATAGCAGCGAAATGTCACTGTCGCGATTGCTAAACTATAGCGAGCGCGCGCCCATCGTCATCCAGGGTATTTGCAATTGTCGCGCGACGCCGCGTGGTCCTACCGTCACATAACCGCCTTTAGACAGCTTTAGTGAAACACTTCGAAACATGAAGCACTAAGAATATTTGTATTAGGGAGCTGCTCGACCTGCAAGTCTTCCAACGTCAGCACCACAAAGTGGCTTACGCCGTGGTCGCCATGCTTTGCAAGTGAGCGAGAAGGTGAAAACGTCCAGCTACGATTTCATTCATGCCTATATTAGTGAACAGAACACCAAAGGAGGATGGAAGTGGAGCTGGTTCCAGGTTCGTTGCTAATGCTACTGGTTCAAAACGGAGTAAAGTTCTTTGTTGCTCGCTGTTTAGTCTTTGCTGATACATAATGAATTTCAGGGTTCAAAGCTTGACCGTCTCCCTTGTCCTGTGCAGAAATGGGTGGCAAGGCTGTTAGTTCACAAGCATCAACTGGAGTATCAACGACCAAATGCTGTCAGTTACTCGTCTTTCTAGCTTTTCTTTCTTTTTTGTTTGCTATCACGTTCAGTTTCCTTCCTTGCTCTTTCTGCGCTTTATTTTGTTTTGTTGCACATTACCAGTTTTTCTGTAGAGGAATATTGGATTGGTTGGTAGTTCCCTTCCATACCATTTCGGTATATTTGCCCTCTTTCTAACCATTCTCATGATTTCAGGTAATTACCGAAGCGAGCGATCATTTCCTGTCAGCTCCGGCAGTAGAGGCAACTGGAGAGGCTCCAGCTTTATCAGTATCAAGTGCGAATACTCCTGGTGTAAGTTACCTCGTGTTCAGCCTTTGCACTAAACAACATGACTATGAGTTCAGGAAGTTAGGACGCATACAGTACCCCAAGAAAATTGAGCGTGAAATTAAATATGTTGCGTTGTGAACGCACACAATCGGGTATACCGTAACCTGGTTTAGTTATCCAAGTTTGAAGTACGTTTGATAGCCTGTGGAGGAGGAAGCTCCAGGGTAGGGCCACCGTCCGCGCAGCGGTCCGCCGGGTACGTGAAAATAAAATCTTAATTCGCCGCGCTGATGGCGTCGCGTGCGACGTCGCGCCACCTGATTCCAGGTCTCACACGGCGACAACAGACAACGTAGATCTAAAAATAACCATAAACGTTACTGTTTTGTAGCCACGTGAAACACGGTGCTCTAATCGACAGGCTAACACGATTTAAGAAAACGCCGCGCATCGTCGTGCGCGGGGAGCGGTGTCTTACGCTTCTCTTGACCGTCTCTCCGCCCCGCCCGGCTCCTGCAGGCGCAACTAGGGTGCAGTATACCATACGCTGAGATTGAGCGATGAAGTTCCGCAATACGGCCTGTTGTGCATTCTCGGCCGACACACTTGATATCACGCGCAATTTTTGGGGGTACTGTATGCACCCTGACTTCCTGAACTAATATTATAATGTACTAAAAATCAGTGTGAGTGGCTTCTCTGATATGTGGAGTGCGCCCTTCTTCTGAGCGACATCTTCCATAATATGCGCTTACCAGTTTGAAGCAGAATAAAACTACTTTTAGACTGACGGCGGGTGTCCCCTCATTCTTTGGCTGCAATGTCCTTTCCCTTCCAAGAAAAAAATGTCGCCCGCGTGGCCGATTGCGGCAGGGGCATCAGTATTATTCGAATAGTGGTTACAAGTGGCCGTAATTAAGAGTGGCTGTTCCTTTGCAATAGAAAATATGATGGTATTTCCCTATACAGACTTCAAAATCTCAGCAACACGACAGCCTTCCAGTGGTGGACTAGAAGCGACGACGCTGGTAACGCAGGTGACTGCGTGTGTCATGCGCTTCATATAGATCTTTTGCCTCAGTTTTTTATCCGTTCATTGCCTTTAGGAGCCTATCTCTTCCCTGAGCTCCGCAGTCGGCACTCCAACCAGAACGGATGTTCCCGTTGATGAAGTTACACCAGAGCAAAATCGCACTCGTACGTTCAGTCCTATGTTGTTCCATCGTTTATCAAACTTACTTTAGTGTTACTCGAAGAGGATAAAATATTCCTTTTTAAGTACCATCCGCTTCTAAGCCGATTGCATCGCCCCGTGCTTCGGCTCGTGGGGGTCGTAAACGAGGAAACATCAACCGTCAACATAATGCTGGGCCTCGGCAGAAACGGGTAAGCAAGAGTTTGCGTTATCGTTCTGCCCGTAGCCGTTGTGTTTTGTTGTGGCGCTGCGGGCGTGATCTAACATTTCCTCGTTTTTTTTTCAGTCTGTTTCCCGCAATGAACCACCAGGGCCATCCCTCACTGCATCGTATGGTCAGCAGTGGCAACCTGACGCTGTTTGCTACCCCTCAACACCAAGAACAAACAGGTGTGCGAAATATGTTTAGCTTAAGGGGATGGGAGGGAGGCCGCGTCAGGAGTGGCCTAATGCTCCCTGTACACTTTCATGTCTTAGTATCGTCAAATGCTGTGAAGGATCCTACGGAAAACGAAAATTCAAGAGTGTATAAACAAGAAACGACTCGAAGCAGCTAGAATCTCCGGTAGTGGTTTAAGTACTTACCTTCTTCAGGTTCTCAAGTGTGATTTCTCCTTTTTAGCTGGTTTCCCTGATCCGGCATCATCTCAGCCTTCCACGATTGGGCCTAATTTGACGCAAGCGTCGATAGGTGAGTGAGTTTACCGCTCAGACAGAACCCGACCGTATCAGCGTGGGACAAATTTTAGTTGTTGGAACCTTTTTCTAGGAAGCTTCATAAATTAGGCTACAACTAATTAATTTTTATCCTGACTGGTCTTGCCTGAGTAGTTTATTTGAGCTAGTTTCGAGGAGGATAATTTATCCTTGACGCCTCTTCTGCGAAACAGTCTATAATAACTTTGTTCGAGGGCGACCAAGAAATTAAAAAAGAGGTCGTATCTTTTCCGTTTCCTGTCTATGGGTTCCTTGGACTATGAGACGCGCTAAATTTTAGACCTATTTTAGTAGAAGCCTCAACCTAGGGGTAAACTTTTTAGTTGTCAATTGATTGATTTCAGGTGATTACCAAACTCATCAAAATCAGAACAACTTCCAACAGAACAGTGGCCAACATCTTCAATCGATGCTGCAACAGTCGTCTCAATCAATAGACCCATCCCATCAGTCCCAACAGCAGCAGCAACAAATGCAGCAGCAGCAGCAACAACAACAACAGCAACAACAACAGCCGATGCAGACATCACAGCAACAACCTCTTCATCAGTTACCTCCGCATCAACAGCAACAACAACAACCATCTGTCCAGCAGTCATCATCCGTTGTGCAACATTCAATGCAACCTCAAGTTATGCAACAGTTGCAACATCACATGCCGCAACAAATGCCTCCTGGTCTTCAACAATCACATATGGCGTCATCCCAGCAAATGCAATCACAACAGTCCATGCAACAAATGCCACAGCAATCGCTTTTGCAGCAACAAATGGGCCAACCTTTAGTGCAACAGCAGCCACGGTCAAATAATAATCAAGGTAAGCAACACCTCCAGACCTGTCCTTTGCTTCTCCTCTTTCAAGGCTTCTTTGCCATATATTTGCTGTTTCTGCTCTGAAACTTGAGTACCTAGACTAAAGGCATTGGGACGATAATTCGGTACCGTCTATAACAGGGGGTACTAATTAGTGGGAAGGTGGCGAAAAAGCGTAATGAAACGGTAGAAATCCTGCAAAAAATCCGTTGTTACACGATTCAGAAAGCAGTGTCGGACGAGTTTCCCGTTGGCATCGTGCCAGTAGTTGCCGCAGTAGATGCGGGTGCATGTACGTACTCATACATCCATGCAGCATCGCAATCGCTCCATCTGCAATACGGCCTTCGCCTATGTATGTTACTACGGCAATGAAGCGAGTAAACAGCATCAGGATCTGTCGGACCGTTGGAGGCGGCAGTGGGCGGGGTGGCGTGTCCGAGTCGGCATAGTCTGGCGAGCTGAATAGCTGCTTTATCGAGGGGTCACCTTCCTGGAAGGCGTTACGCAGCGCCTGCGAGCTGGTGCGAATGTTGCGCACGCGACAGCCTCTCAGGTCGCTACTGAGACCTGCTCAGCTACTATCTTGGCCATCCAACCGAAGTGAACTCACCGTTTTAGTGTAGCTTACCAGCGTCAACACTTAATGATTGTGTTAGCGCATCCGGTTCCTATTGCTACATTCATTTGTAAGCTGTTGAATTCGATAGTAAGCAACAGTTCAGAGTAACTGTTGATTTCCTTCATACGCGCTGAATTGGAGAGGCAAGATTTTTGAGTCAGACACTGTAATTTTATTGTGGAACTGTCCGGTATTAAATTATGCTCGCCTTTCCGATTGCTGCCATCAAAGTGCGAGGAATGTCGGGGACAATGTGGGGTTATGACAAGAGTTGATAGACGGTATCCTTTTCAGGTATGGTAACTAGTCAACAGTTCGCTCAAGGAGGTGGTTCTTCTCAACATCAGACTGGAATGGGTGGTCCTATGCAGATGAGTTATCAAGGCCAACCACACACGGGTCCACAACCTTCGCAACAACCTCGAAATCCAATGGGTCAGTTCGCATCCAGAGATGGAACGATGAATGTGGAGTACCAGCAAGGTATTTTCTGCAGAAAAGTAGAGAAGCAGAGATATTTTACTGATATGTATTTAGGTACCCGCGGAGGTCGTCAGCAACTACAGATGGGTTCGCAAGGTAGTGTGGTCCGTAATGGAATGCGGAGACACCAGATGAGTGGGTCAAACCACATATGGACGATCGCAGCATGTTCCTGATGGTCACCAGGATTGATGAACACGAGCAAATGGGTCAGGCAGATCACCAGTGGGTACGCAGCAGATGTCACATCAGATGGGTCAAGCTCCAATGTCAGGACAACAGTATTACATGCCACAGGATCAGAGGTGCGTCTAACTTTTATGTAAGTACTTAAAGACAAGATGAACACTCATCTTGAGGATCCATGGTGCTTGCATATAGTGATCGCGCGGAGAATGGGTCCGCAACTGCAGAATCCTGCCTACTTTCAGTGGACAAAAGTACATAGAAAGGGAACTGCAGGGTTGTTGATATACGGGTGCCGTCTCCATACATCGCCAGCGCTGTCGCGCGGTCAACCGTACGTCTAAACATAGCCGAAGGCGCTACTTGTCTGCGCCCTCTCACTTCTGTCCTCTACCACTCAGTGCTTTATTCGCTACGGGACCTTTGTATCGACGTACGTGCAATAACTTGAGGGTAGCTTCGGCGGCTTATGGAGACTGCACTTGGGTATCCCATCCCCTTCCACTGCAGGCCGAAAGTGGCACGCTACTGCAGCTGCGAACCCGTTCGCCTCAACACATGCGAGGACCATCCTCGGAGGTGAGTGCTTACAGTTTTTCTTTGACGTCCACCGTTTTGGAGTCGCCGAGTAAGGGACGGCCAAGATAGCAACGTCATGATTGTGCGCGCACGCTTCTTTCCAGCTTTTTCAAGGTAGAGGAGGGGCGCACCAGTGACGTTGTTTCTTTGCCCCACCCACTCGACAATCCCGATCCCATCTCCAGGGCGCGTGCATAAGGCTGCGTTTATACTTTGCGGCAGCGTAGCGCTTCCAGCGTGCGCCAGCGGCAGTGTCGGGGAAAGGAATAGGTATCGATCTAGCGTCCCCAGCGCCACCAGCGCTGGCGTAACCTAGCGTACGCCAGCGTAGCGAGGGCACGGGATGTATGGGTATCGATCTAGCACTACAAGCGTTTCACGAGCGTTTAACTAGCGTTTCGCTAGCGCTTGCATCGGAGGGCTAGAGAGTGTAGAAGAGTAGGAGAGTGCAAAATACTCTCCTACTCTTCGATGCTCTCTATCCCCACCGCTGCAAACGCTAGCGAGACGCTAGTGAACGCTGGAAGCTGCGCTGCCGCAAAGTATAAAGCAGCCTAAAGGCTTGAAAATCAGGAAGAAACTTATTAAGAAAGGCAGAAGTTCAGCAGTTAAGCAACGCAGGGGGATCGACTTCTTGTTTCTTTTAGTGTTCCTTTTTTGACCTTGTGGATTCATTAGGATCTGGGTCACCTAATTTTGCATTTCTCGTCCCCTTCATTACGGCATTTGTTTTCAGAATGCTGAACCAGCCTTACAATCATTCTCAGTACCCGCAGAACAACCAGTTTTAGCGGTAGTCCTGAACATTCGCGGAGTTGAAGAAGATTTCTTACGGGTATTTTAATAGTGATTAAGTTTAAGTAGTTCAGAAAATAGGCCAGTTTTATACTCATGGTGCTCTTGGTCGTTTTAACCTTATTTTACTAGCCCTAGTTTTGTTTTATGCCGTGAGAGTTATTACATTTACTGCGTTTCTTTTTATAGTTTATAACTGTATACTAAGCATGTAAAAGCCATACATTTGGTTCTGTTGTTTAAATTGTTTCATTTCTTGACCATACAGTGCTGTCTTGAACAGCAAAGTGCGTTAATGTCAGAATGAATTTCTTTGAGTTACTGCAGTACTCGAATGAAGAGGATTGAACCTCTTTGCTTTGGGATTTGTATTTACATTGTACCATTGTACCTTTTATACCGTCAGGTTTGTGTGGTTTTCGAATAATTAATTGCGATATCATTTTAACAATGTATTGAACATGTTTAGTCTCCTCGTAGCAGGAGATTTACTAAATGTGTAAAGCTTGTACTTCTGCATTTTGTGATAAATTGTTATATTTGTATATTTGTTATGTTGAAATTCCTTCTACCTGTAAATACGGTCCTATTTCTAAACTATTTATTAAGAATCATTGAAACATCCGGTTGAGACCTGATGACTTCATGCGGGGACGCAAACATGTACTAGTTAGTTGTTCCTGCCATGGTAGTATACCACTGCACTTGCATACCGTAATTCGCTGCGGATGAAGGGGCGTGTCAATCCGTATGAGTTCAAACCCGTGCTCGGCCAGTTGAAGCGGGTATGCGATAACAGTTGGTAGAAAACGAGTGATACGAATGTTATGATACAGTCTTGCCTCTTCTCGCTTCAACAGCCGGTGGAGAACAACGGTTTTGGCACTGTGCCAAACTCATCAGTCTTGACACGCCCATTCGTCCGCAGTGTACAGACTATAATTCACTGCAATCCCTATGGGTTTGCAAGCAGAATGTGACTTTATGGCAGGGTATTTGAAGTGCATGTGGTACGATAGGGCAGACTACCTCAACGTTGTGATTTTGTCTTGCCACCAAGGGTCTTATGTAATTACCAGCCGCGTCATGGACACCATCGACGCATAACTCTACATGATAAACGGCGGGTTGTAATCCAAAGAGATTATTCTTCTGGTCTAGATATTAAATTCAGCTCCTACTATCCTACCGACTTGAGTTCCAAGGCAAGTTTCATAAATTGTTGTTACTGTATTCGCAGTTATGGAAGCGTTGAAGTATCTCTTTCCCTGCCTCTGAAGTTTACGAGTAAACTTCTATTCACTTATCTAACAGTTCAAGCTGTTGGTACTGTCTCACCATTACAAGGCACGTATGATAGAGAAGGACCGAAATTCTATTAAAAATTATTTTTGAAAAATTCCTCTTTGATATCCCTGGAACTCCTTTCTTTCCAGATCGACGAGGACACGTGGAACAAATTCATATGTGAACTCAATTACCGGTATGAGATTGCTGAAAAAGTTTCGTCAGCAACTGTTATGGAAACCATATTTGGTTGTCTTAGTTGTTATTTGATAAAGTAAGTTTTACTTCCACGGTTGTAAATCTGGGAATTCACCAGAGCGATAATGAATTACATGCTCATTTCGCTGTGAGCCTTTGCTTAACATGTTCCCCTCTTCCGAAAGGCTGCGTGGAAAGTCCGCTCACAACGTATACTCCTCATCATTACGGACTGTCGGGGCGGGTCAGTGCGGCTGCGTTTTCCGCGGTTCCAAAGTCTTTCTGCACCAGTTGTTGAAGCGATCAAATGACATAACAGCATTATATCCTTCGTATTACTCGTTTTCTACCACTTTTTGTCGCATACGCGCTTTCAAAGAAAAGGCTGAGAACGGCTTCAAACAGTGTGCGCACTCCTTCTGGCCGATACGCCCCGACAGTCCGTAATGATGAGGAGTGTACTTTACAAGTATATGATGTGTCGCATCACGCAGTACTTGCGCATATGCCCAAGAGCAATAGAATAGAGGGTATGTGACAAGAGAATGGTGATTCGTCGAATTGGTGGGCGTTGCGTGCGACGTCGCGCGCAAATGACGATGGTTTCAGGTAGCGGATGGCGACAACAAGCTAATCAGAACCGAAAATAGTCATGAATTTCCAAGATGACGGGGTCTACATGAGGTTAACACGAGTTAAGAAACTGTCGCGCCTATCGAGGCGCGCGGTGGAGCGGCAAACTACGATTACGATTCTCTTGCCCGTCTCCCATAGAATAGTAATGGCTTACTGAATGGATGCAGTCTACACAATGACCGGGGGCCGGTCGATGAATTTGGTACCAATGGACCGTCTCTGGAGGGTAGAAGGCTTGATTGGCCTGGGTGGAAGCCGGTCCAGGATCTGATCCCCAGACCGTGCCGTCCACTTAAGTCTACTTGAACCAAATTCGTTTATTCAACGTATCCTGATCATCTCTCCATAAGGCGAGTCCCCAGTGTTGTTGACAGCGATTAATAACTTTACAAATGCTCAGTGGAAAATATAAAACAAGAAAGGGTTTCCTATTCTATAGCCTGGAACACTTTGCTAGAAAAGTACACGACTTTATCCTGAGATGACTTGTTATTGACCGGACTTATAAGTCCACCTAATGATTACCACCTTCGATTCCGACTAACAATTCCTTCCTACCAAGTTCGACCATTTGTTTAGCAGAAGCAAAATGGTACACTTCAATGATGCTAATCCCAAGGAAATTGTGCAATGAGGGGGAGGGGAAGGTAGGATATACGGAAGTCTTGCTTACTGGGACCGATGAATAAAAAACCGCTGGAAGTGAGTTGCCGTGCTCCGTGGAAATCTTCGGGCCTGATCTTCTTGCGAATGAACCTCGCTCGCTGTTGGAACATAAACCTGGTTTGACACCTTTGCTGAGCTGCGCAGTGCGCGCAGTCAGACTTCCCATGCAAGAGAGAAATAGAACTAGCCAAAATCAACCCCACTACGCGAAACAAGTACTACCGTCTGGCAACTCCGCTTGGAAGTTTGACCCCACTAACTTTCTAAGTGTTTATTCCGTTTCCCGAGCTGTAATATTGTGAGATATCGAAACATGTGTAAATCTGTTTTGTTGACTAAATTGAAGAATATCTGGAAAATTTCAGACTTTGTAAACAACCTTCCTTCTATAAGCAATTAGACGAAATAGCTGAATTTATCGAATATTGCAATCGTGATATACTTATTCCACGAGGACTATACGCGAAAAATCCTATTGAAAAAGGATTTCGTGTCGTGAGTTGTAATTTGTTTTTTGAAATCTGTGTGACGAGAGCTGTTTGCCTCGAGAGAGGAAATAAGGAAGTGGTATGTGAGGTTGTGGGAGTTCTTAAGACCCAGTCCGCCCACGTTGAAGGTGGGTTTGGACATTCTGCTAACCGCGAGGTGTTCCTTCGGAGGCAGTGGGCACGATGGCTGGGGGCGGGTGGTTGTCACCAGTGTCACTGGTGGAGGGGCTGAGTGGGGTGTGACCAGACGCCCTCTCGCGGTTCTTCCACCAGTGACGCTAGCGAAGCTCGCCTTCAGAAATCGTGACCACAGCCTTCAGGTCAGCTTCTTCTGAGCGCGACAACTTCGCTTTATAGGTGGTCTCTCTCGGTCCTACTGGAATTTAACTCCACTTAATAACTTAATTCCAACATAAATAGTTTTGATTTGGTAGTTGTTTAGCTGGAGATCCGAAATAAATAATTTAATTTGGTAGTTCTTTAGCTGGAGATCTACTTGATATACGAGCCATATGATTCTAAGATGGAGGTCTGTCACGATGTTACGAAACCGCCGAAATTAGTACCTAGATTGTGAAATTAATTAAAATTAATTGTATGAAAAGTTCTTGCCCATGTCTATACTTGTTATATTCATACGCTGTCAATCTCAACTGTTCTACACTGCTGCTGCCATAGAATCATATAGTTTATGCAGATTTAATCAGTTATAGTATAATGTATAATATTTCCGTCTATTTATTTACACTTCTAAGTGTATAGCTGTTTGACATATTCGTATAAGCATAATGCTGTCAGTTCATCCCTCGTGTCCGATCGATTCTTTTTATTTCGTTTTACTGCTGACTGTACAAAAAAAGAAAGTTGTTATATTTATTTACTAATAAGATTCTAATAATAAGATTTATGATTCAGTGACAGTTACCTTGAGGATGGATCTTTACGCAGAAACTTTCTTCATTACAGTTTTTTTTTCGGTGTGACAGTGAGGCACTACCTTAGGCTGCGTTCATACTTTGCGGCAGCGTCAGCGACTAGGAAAGTATAGATATCGATCTAGCGTCTGCCAGCGTCTACCAGCGTCCACCAGCGACCAGCAGCGTCTCGAGGGCTAGGGAAGTATAGGTATCGATCTAGCGTCTACCAGCGTCCACCAACGACTAGCAGTCGACTGCTCGTAGAGAGTAAGGGAGGGTACCGTCTTACTGCTACCTTCCTATCTCCCCATACCTAGTACCAGCAGTTTGCTACTCTACCATTGCCCCATAGTCTCCACCCCAGACGCTGCTGGTCGCTGGTGGACGCTGGCAGACGCTAGATCGATATCTATACTTTCCTAGTCGCTGACGCTGCCGGACGCTCGGAACGCTGGTGGACGCTGCCGCAAAACATGAACGCAGCCCAAACATGAACTCAGCTTTCACTGCTCCAATCTTCCCAAATCAGGGCGATTTTTACCGACTTCTCGTCTCGGTGAATACATGGCTGAAAACGTGCCTCTAGGCTTGTTTGACCTCCTGAAGATAAATGTCGCATCCGCTTGGCGAACCCGCCTTGCGCCACGCCACAGGCGCCGGCGTCAAAGTGTACCGAATCTCCAAGTTTTAAGATTAGCGAGAAAGAGTTCTAGGTAGGTAATGTGTTTTTTCAGAAAAACGTCATACCCCGGCTGATAATCGTTTGTTATTACCGATACCGCCCGATAGAATATGTCAACGTGCTTGATAGCACATCACATAGACAGAGCCGTTAATCAACACGGCCTTGAACACAAGATTTATTCTTTGAATGTTCAACAGAATACATGAGAATGAGTGTAGTAGGCGAATCCAGGATGGGTTAGCATCAAATAACGCTTTGTTGTCGCTTCTTTAGGTCTTGAAAGGATTGGCCGTTGCTGACCGCAGCTTCAGTCCAGGTTAATCAGTATCACAATCTTAAAGGCGGTCAGACTTATCAACGGGTCGGCGTTCACGCTATCAGTTGCTGGGTATACTCTGGTTCGCTACAGATGAAGAGGCGTGTCAGGCAGTATGAGTGTGCCACGGCGCAAAACCCGCTCTGCCAGCTGTCGAGGCGAGTATGCGACAAAAATTGGTAGAAAATGAGTGATGGGAACGAACGACACAGTCTTGTCACTTGCTCGCGTCAACGACTGGTAGAGAATCGGGTTTGGCACCGTGCCAAATTCATGCCGCCTGACACGCCCCTTCGTCAGCAGCGAATAAATATACCTTGATATGCACAAAAAACAAGAGGACATCACGGAACGAGAGAACGAAACACACAAATATACAAATAAGGTTATTGTAGGAACTATATGATCTAAATGATCCACTCTTACTGTTCAAGATCAGGCAACACAAATGAAAAGTCGCAAATTTTGATATAAAATTATTCAGCGCTATCTACCCTTTACAGCCTCACTTCCCTAAATTCGGGCCAGTTTTTCATCAAAATCATTCCGCTAGGGGCAGCACACAAACATTAAGCTGCATTCATACTTTGCGGCAGCGTCCACCAGCGACTACTAGCGTTCCGACCGTCCGGTAGCGCCAGCGACTTGAGTAGTATAGATATCGATCTGGCGTCTGCCAGCGTCTACCAGCGTTCACCAGCGACCAGCAGCGTCTCGAGGGCTAGGGAAGTATAGGTATCGATCTAGCGTCTGCCAGCGTTCACCAGCGACCGGGAGTAGAGAGTATGGGGAAGTAGGAGGGTAGCAAACAGCTGGATTAGGCGTCGTGAAATTGCGGCGTGTGCAACCGCACCGCACAACTGCTAGTTGTACGGGCTCTACTCCCGGTCGCTGGTGAACGCTGGCTAGATCGATATCTACACTTCCCTAGTCGCTGGCACTGCTGGACGCTCGGAAGGCTAGCTTTCGCAGGTGGACGCTGCCGCAAAGTATGAACGGACTTACGTCCAGTTGGTGTGAAAACATCTGACGCCCACGCAAAAACTGGCCAGCAACGAATTTACGAAATTTGGAAAGTGGGGCATCAAAGCGTAAATAGTGCCTAATTTTCTGCAATAACGTGATTAAATTCAAACATGACCTCCACATCTTCTACTTCTATAATATTACTATCATGATGAAAATATTGTTATTACTGTTATTATCAATATTATTAAGTCGATGTTATTATTGATATTATTAGGTCGATCAAAAAAATTATTAATCCATCAACTATGGTAATCACTTCGAAATAAAGGAATCCGTAAGATCATCGTGCTGAGCAGAAAGAGTTAAGGTAGCGAATGGTTGCGACAGACTAGTGAACGATTCTTCAGCTTTGTGAACATTCACTTGCAAATGGTGCTATGTCCATAGTGTCCATTTCATCATTGGCAATTTTCTGGAAGAAAAAAAAATTAAATGGATGGTGAGCATGGTAAACTTAAAATGTTAAAAATTTCATGGAATCACTTTGTAGGAGCAC